TTTTCATATCCATACCGTACCAATTACTACACTGGTCGATTCTGTTTGTCCGTTCCATGATAGCCATGGGGATACAACCGCTTAGCCTCCTCGTACTCCGGGAAGTCAAAACTGACGTCTGCAATTGCCAGCACACATAGATGGCTCTCTCGATAACTCAGTGAAATTATTACTGCTCTTCATCGATAAGAAGCCAATCTCATATACTACTACCCGTTTAGCCGTAAATCATCCGTTCCGAACTCCTTACGCCACTGCAAGTGATTTCCAAACATTTTCTTGGCATTCTGAGAATTAAAACTCCTCCATTAGAATCTCCCATAGTAGCAGTTAATAGGATACTCTATCACCTGATAGACGCATTTTCGTGCCTTTACAAAGCGTCCTATGTAATGATCATCAAAGATGCACTCGCCGTCGTTTCGAACAGTGCTTTCTTCAATCTCCTCTGCGAAATCCACACGAAGTTGTGCTATCTACGGGGAAAATCCACCACTAAGGATCTTCCACATTTTCACTACAATTTCCTCTTCCGTAACAGGGTGGGGTTGCAAGTCGGCATTGCTGGTCGGCAGAGACGGCCGATTTTTCCGAGGGGTCATTGACAAGCAACGAACTACGGCAAAAGCATCCCCAGAAGGAGCCCAACTGTCGCCTCGACGAGTGGACGATCGAGATCGACAATCACCATGGACTCTTAGTGTTAAAGTAAACGTTCGCTTACCGTGACTGAGCTCAGGAGTTTCCCCATTCACTATAGCAGGCTTACAAACGAATTCGGGTAGGAGTATACAAAACCCAATGAGAATTCCCAAAAATTTTTCCACAATCTATATATTGTCATCTGCATATGTAGTTCACCACGTGCTCCTGCTGACTTGAGTTCGCTTGAGAAAAGAGTGTCTCCTTTCGGGCCCAAAGGGGTTCACTAAAAGCAATACGAGTCATTCCCTACCAGTACTTCACTACTCAATGAAAGTAAATAATTAGTGAGCATCTAGCGTTGACGAGAAATGATAGACTTCATATAGATTCCAATAAGGCGATATATCAACTGAAGCACTTGAAATCAAGTACTCTTCCACAGAGATGATCTCGAAAAGAGAAGTATAACGACATCGGGTGTTTTCTCGGGAATATTATACAACCTAGTGGAGCCTATCTTGCTCAGCGGGTTTGGCTACGTCGGGAAGTGGAGAAATTTTGGTATATAAAAATCTCAAATTAATTAGATAGGCAATTATTCGAAGGTTTCAAGGGAAAGAAACGGGCTTGTTTTCGACTATAGGATGGCAAATTGAGACGGATAATTTCGTGGCGCGTGACGGAGTTAACGACACTCCGCATGCTTTGATGTTGGTCGAGTTACAATGGATTCATTTTCAATCTATAAACGAACGAATACTCGTACGGAAACTACGGACCTCTCGAATGGACATGATGATGTTCCAAATAACAGAATAACCTATCTCTAGTAGGGTTCAACAACTTAACACTCTCACTACTCTGCAAGGACTATAGGCAACGATGTTAAAATAGAATTAAAGTCGTATATAGAACTACTGATGCACAACGCTAGTACGTCACCACTGAAAACTTCATGTTAAGATGAATTCTTCCTTCACTACTCGATGGTATCGAATAGCTAGCGCTTCCTATTTTTCGGTGGAAACAGAATTTCACACTAAGTCTGACATGGTAGACTATACGAGTCACACGTGAGACGCTCATCAACAGCAACAACCCGTCAAACAAGCAAACACAACCCGCAGAAAAACGAGCGGTACAATTTTGCGTAGCATTCTTGATTACTATGAACATTCACTACCACATTGTATTCGCTACCACTACTACTATGAACACAACACAAATGAAAAGTAAAGGCAACTTCCGAAGAAAACACTCAATGGTAAGTAACTTGTCAACTACCAAAGTCTGATGACTACCACTCGAACGACAATGGAATAGCCACATCAGTGATGACTACCACATCTTGAAAAGCGGCTTACAATTGTCGAGTTGTTGAGATCGGAAACGCCTCTATTATGCTATGCTGCAACGAGGGAAAGCAATAAGTTTTTATTGATGATAGTAAACGATCGAACGATCGCAGAAATAAACGTAAAGATTACAATATTATGATGGCTATTATAGTTCGTCATTTTGTTGTTGAACCCAAAGTAAACCGACAACAGATTCCACTCAGGGTCATTATCATAGTATTAGAGCCACCTCAAATCTTGTAGAGGATAATTATTTTTGCCCCTTAGTGTAAAGATCATAATACACTCCCCCCTTAGCAAGAAGAGCATCATGGTCACCATATTCGACGATCTTGCCATCAGCAACAACATATATTACATCACAATTTCGAACTGTCGACAAACGATGAGCGATTGTAACACTGGTACGACCAACCGAGGCGGCATCAATGGCGTTCTGGACGATCTTCTCACTAGTAGAGTCCAATGCACTCGTAGCCTCATCGAGGAAAATAACGTGAGGATCTCTCACAAGAGCTCTGGCAATAGCTGCTCTCTGCTTCTGACCGCCAGATAGACGACAACCTTTCGGACCCATCGGATCGTCCCACTTCACGCTGCCTCCCATAGAAGTAACATAATCCATATTGGACATATTAGCAACCTTCTCCAGCTCAGCCATAGACGCATCCTCCTTACCGTAACGGACATTCTCAGCAAGAGTCATGTCGAACAACACAGGCTCTTGGCCAACATAACCGTTCTTGCCTCGCCACCAGGAGATGTCCAACATACGAATATCCGATCCTCCAACACATACACTGCCGCCATTGACGTCATAGAACCTCTGCATGAGAGCCATCACTGTAGACTTACCGCTACCAGAGGGCCCAACAAAAGCCACCTGCTGACCGGGCTCAATACGGAAGGAGACACCCTTTAGAATTTCAACTTCCGGGTGAGTCGGATACGAAAAGTGAACATCCTTAAATTCGATAATACCATCACCAAGAACACAGACGGTCCCATCAGGAGTTACCGCGTTAATCTTAGACTCCGTATCAAGGATTTCGAACACGTCATGAGCAGCAACCTTAGCCTCGGCGACATCAGGGAGGAAGGCCATAGCCTGCCCGACAGCCATAGCAGCAAACATGATGCCCATCAACGCCTGCAGCATATGAGTGTAGCTCAGACCCTCATGCACCATAAGATGGCCACCATAATAGAACCCGATAGCGTAAGCAAGAAAGATGATGCAGTTGGAAGCACCAAAAGTAAGCCCACGAACTGATGCCGCTGAGAAACTAGTATTACTCGATCTAGCAGCATAACGATCATACGCCTCCACCGTCCACGACTCTGCCATAAACGCTCTAACCGTGCGCATGTTCTGAATGGCCTCTGATGCAACTAGCTGGGCTTGCTTAAGCTCATCCTGCTCCTTCTTGCCCACAACCCTAACAGACATGTTCACCTTCGCAGCGATGCCCAGGAAGGGCACCATAGCGAGCATAACCAGAGTCAACTGCCAAGAGCCTGTAAACCCAATGACTGCACCTACGACCATACCGGTCACAGCCTGGGCGTAAATACCCAGCGAGGCTCCAGTGATGGAGTTCATTTTCACAGCATAGGTCGACAAGGAAGCCGTCAGCTTACCAGCCGCGTGCTCGGGGAAATCAAAGAAGCCCATATCTTGCTCAACTATCTTGTTAAAGCACTGCTTACGAACATTACATGTGAAGTTCTCACCAATGACCGAGAACCCCAACGACTGCATCACATGTCCAACAAAGAGCAACGCGCCCAGTCCCACATAATACAGCGACACTGTGCTGACCCGATCCATGATCAACAACGGGGGGTAATAGAAAGCGGTAAGTGCATGGGCTAGAAGCAGCGCATTCAAGGGGAAACCAGCACCCGAGATGAAGGCACCAAAGATAGCCGGGATGAACCACCACTTCTCATTCCGGCTCAAACCGATGAGACGCTTCCACGGCGTTTTGTACGACTTCGAAATCAACTTCTTACGTTCCGCCTCGATCTCCTCCTCAGTTTTACCCAACAACCTGTTCTCGAAGTCCTGGTCCTCCTCCTCGGCTACACCCCCTAGAGTCAACTCAGACTGCTTCCTCTGAGAACTAGCCTTACGTAACATCTCACCAGCAGCCGACAAGGAACGACGAGTGCGCTCAGCATGAGCCTCAGCAGAATGTTCAGTACTCGCCGCAGCCTGAGCCGACACCAACGCACTGTACACCCCAGCCATGGCCATCAACTCCTCATGGTTGCCCTGCTCGACCAAATTCCCCAGATGCATAACGAAGATCTTATCAGAGTTCTTGATAGTAGACAAACGATGGGCAATCGAGATGGTCGTGATGCTGACTGTCGTTTGCAAATAATCGATAGTAGCTTGAACCATCTTCTCACTCTCATTATCAAGAGCTGACGTAGCCTCATCGAGCAAGAGAATTTGAGGATGGCGCAGAAGGGCTCTCGCAATAGCAATCCTCTGTTTCTGACCACCGGAAACCTGACTACCGCCAGGACCAGCATATGTGTCGAACCCTTGTGGCAGCGATTCAATGAAGTTGAGAATCTGAGCCTTCTTGCATACATCTCTGATGGCCGCCTCCGACGGGAGATTCTTACCAACCAGACCGTACGTGAGGTTGTTGCGAATGCTGTCGGCGAATAAGAACGGCTCTTGCCCAACATAACCAAACAAAGCACGATGCTGGTGAACTGGCATACTCTTGATATCAACACCATTGACCAGAACCTAACATGAAATACACGACGCCAAGTAAAACTATAAAGCAGCCCACCCGTCCTTCCACGGGGTCGTAGAACCTCTCGATGAGCTGCACCAGAGTAGACTTGCCCGAGCCGGATTCACCAACGAAAGCTACCTTCTCACCACGTTCGATACTCAACGACACGCCTTTGATGACCTGATAAGGCGAACCTTATAATGCACATAGCCGACTACCACCTACCTGTAGTTCCGGTCTAGCAGGGTAGTTGAACTTCACCTTCTCCAACTCGAAAGTGTCAAGTTGTGGCGGTTTTATAGCCTCAGCCTCGTCCATGTCGGCCAAACGACGCACCTCTGGCTCGATCAAGGCCTTCTCCTCGAACAGCGGATAGATCTTCCCACCAGCAGCACACCCCTCAGCGAAGGCCTGATGATAAAACTCACGATTTCACACTCCAACTGAGTAGCGATGATAAACTTACTTGCACATGGGGGGCGATCTGGGCCAGGGAGAAAGTAGCCATAATGGCAGACATGAATACAGTGAGGACATCACCGCCTTGATACGGCAATCCTGTGGATGGATTCGTCACACCATCACGAATCAGAGAACCACCATACCAAAAGGTGAGAGCATATGTCCAGAATAGAACTGCCATAGTAAAGCCAATAGAAAGCCCTCGAAAAATGCCCCCGCGTATTCCAGATCTCAGTGCATCTTTAACAACGAGAGCATACTTCACCATAGAGCGCTTCTCCCCACCAAATGCAGCTACGGTCTTCACCGATCCGAGTACTTCCTCTGCTACAGCACCAGCTGCAGCGTACTGTGTCTGGCCCTCCGAAGAAAGGCTTGACATAGTCTTCGCCATGAGGAAGCCGGCAATCATGATAAGTGGTAGAGAACTCATCATAACGAGGGTGATTTGCCATCCTCTGTAGAAGGCTATTATATACCCAACAACCATCATGGCAATGTTCACACAGCACATGGATGCTTTAGAGCCAATAGCATCACGAACCTTGAGGACGTCCTCAGCCATACGCGACGGGATTGCCGCAGGGGTCCTCATGTCGAACCATGCTATGTCTTGACCTATCACTGCTTGCAAATACTTTACTCTCAGACGAGATGCCTGATTCTCAGAGAAGTACGTGAAACAAGTATTGAATATAGCTCCTGTAACAAGGGCAACGCCAGCGAGGATACACATCTGCCACGTAACAGTGACGACTCTATCCATGAACCCGTCAAGGCCACCAGCAGACGCACTAGCGAAGTCGCCAAACAAGAGGGAGAACACAGGCATCAACGCGCCGTTGCACATAGCTGCGATCACACCGCAGGACAGGGCATAATAGTCCGTAGTCGAAGCCATGCTGAATAGCTTTAGGAATGATACAGATTTGAAGTCCTCATCCGATGGGGTGTCACCACTATCTTCCGACGACCTCCGAGCCCGTTTAGAGCAGAATTTGGATAATGAGAGCTTCACCATACTGAAGCTGGATTGACGATAGCCAATTCTTAAAGTAGCGAACGAACAAGATTTTTATAACTGACAAAATAACTTTTCTAACGAAAATACACCCAAACACAACGGAATTGCTCTATGAACATGCTAGCTTAAACGGAGACAAACACAAAGGTAGAATCAACAGGTGTTAATCGTTGGCTTGTTGGTAATCGACTTTCGACATCGTAGTTTCACCTTCAGAGGAATAGGATGAACACGTGCTGAAAATGAAAGCGACGGAATCGCCCATGCATAAAGTCATCGAGACCAGCGACGGCAGCATAAGTGTAAAGCGATACTAGAGGTATCCAAGCTAGACGGCTTACCAAGGCCGCTAGAACACCTATAGCGAGGACAACCTTGTCGTGGTTATATGACAGAGCGAAGTAGAATACAGATTTGTTATTTCCACCTTGGAGGTTGTTCGAGTCGAAGCATCATTATCAACATCCATGGAGAACTTCTTGGACATGAGTTAGCTCTCACGTTGTTAGCTAACATGTTTTAATGCTAGTAAAAAGGCTTGCTTACCCAAGACTGAAGGGGAGTCTACCGGAGCCATGCACATATGGGCGTCTGATCGATATTAGCTGTGGCGTACGCATGTGCATTCTAGTCCTGTGCACCTGCTGCCCCATTGGTCAGTCCCGTCTCGACGGACACCGTATCAGCAGTTCTTACCGTCTTGTGTTCACAATGGGCACCCCGAGAACACAGAGCCGCAAATTCGGCAATGCAGTTCATAGTAGTCGACTTTCACCCTTTCTATTGGATACTGGGGTCGTTCACTAAACCAAATTCGAGACTCAGGATCGATTCCAGAATCGCTTATAACAAGTATAGTACAATGCTATAATCGACTTTAAATATGGAGGGGACTGTGACGTAGTATTGTACCGGTTTCCAATGCAATTTTCGCTACGCCCAAAAAATTAGAGTTGACTTTTCATGTTTGTGTTGACTTTTCATGTTTGTGAAGTACGGTAAACCTCATCATTTCTAACTCGTACACACACACACACACAACTTTGAATGTTCTGCCATGGAACGATATTTCGTCGAGACAATTCTGATTAGGGGTGCGGTTGGCAGGTTTCATGTCCAGCGTCAACGCGAAGCACGTGGGAGCTTAATGAGATTGTATACTGTGTTAAACTGAGAATACCCGATAATCAACTTACAGGTGCGCCATCAGATGATGTAGAGGGCCAAGATGGATAGAAGGTTTCTTTTAGCGGTGAATTTCCCACTATAATAGGGCACCGAAGGCGCCGTGCAGCCGCGGTCACGGATAGTTATTGTGCGTCGCCTTAGTCCGCACAAGAGCCGTTTGGCGACCTTACTCAAAACAAAGAACAAAACAGAATAAGTACAGCTCATGGGGCATTGTAAGATATCTGCTAGAGTGCTGGCCCTTTCTGAATTGCAAACGATAGTAAATAAGAGTTTCTCGACACTGCTGTGAGAAAGTTCGGTGTACCTGCTGCACGCATGCGCGTGGCAGGACGGAGACAGCAGTTCGGTCCAGTGGTAGACCAGGCTTCCTGTGAGGGCTCCTCACTGGAGAGTTGAGGTGCGATGCTCCGACCTATGATATGCCTGCAGAATACGGAGTGAGAGGACACCCCCCTTCTCAGAGTTGAACTCCCATTCTAATTGATGGCAACCGAATTCTCTACGCAGTTGGCTCCATCAGCTTTCTTCAACGGCAACGATGAGCTGTCCATAGCCGGCGACAGTCTCCTGAAAACCACTTATTCGTCGTTGTCGTCAGCTGCTGTCCCCAAGGAACACTACTACAAGACGAAGCTCTGTGTTTTCCACACTCTTCAAGGTCGATGTGTTCATGGTGTCAACTGTACCTACGCTCACGGTGTAGATGATTTGGTGTCTCTCAGCGGGCTGCTTGACTCACCTCCTTCTCCTCGTGGTTATTATGGAAATCCCAAGTCTCTTCCGGGCTCTCTTGGTGGGCCTTTTCCCCCAATATTGCGCTCGGCTGGCAAACGCAACAAGCATCGCTATGATGCTCATGGGACTCTTCGTTCGGCGGACGCCTTGGGCCGTGGTAGACGCATGAGTCGCAGACGAACAAGGCCAAGGCTATCAGCTGGAAGACCATGGACTACCCTACGTTCACCTCCAGCAGAGGACCTGCTTTCTGGGGTTCGCACAAGTATTGGCGAAGAAAGCCTCCTCTCACACAGCTCGCTATACTCCACAAACGATAATAAGTTCGACAACGGCAATTATATAAATTACCTGCCATCTGAGGAGAATACTTGGACTGTTGATGACGCAGAGTTTTGTCGAAATGAAGATGCTGCTTCACAACTCTTTGGGGAAGCTCTGCACCTCCTCGATGACAATTCAGCTGAGTATGATTCGTGCGCTTCACGCAACATGCACTATTGTCATTCGTTCCAACCTTATCACTAGAGGTAGATCTGATTCCTCTTAACCTGGCGTATTTCGGTTCATGATTTCATCTCGTCGTTTCGTCGCTAAAGTCTGGCCAAATGTATTAACTTTCAGTTTCGCACACGGCGGCAGTGCCCAAATGAATAGGTCCCTCTCTATTGCGTGGCAATCAAGAGGGATATCTTATTAATAGGAACTCTCTGTGCGACTTTCACAAATGTCGCTCTTAGTGCTTTCTCATCACAAGTGCCGGCCTGCTTACCTAATGGTACTATTAGAGGTTACTTTCTGCAGTACATTCGGTACTCGGCTAACTAGGGCGGTACATGCTCGACTGCTTGGTAGCTCCCATTTTTCACCTTCGTATGGTTCCGACCCCTTCCTAGGCACACGCTTGGTAGGGCTCGTTGCCGTTACATTTATTCAATTTTTCACAGAATGATTCAGTCTTTCCTGGTCGATCTTGTCGTTGTTGATTTATAAATCATTCAATAGATCATATCCATCGACTGTTTCGAGGGGAAACTGTCCAGGGTAGTCTCAGAAGACCAGTAAGGATAATGCGCGATTCGTGACGAAAAAGAACTGCTACTGGCAGTCTGCTAGTCTGATTAGTTGAGTATTATGCTGAAATGCAAGTCGTAGGGACACGGTACTACCGTGACGGTAACTTCACTCACAGTACAGCCATACATACAAGTTTTGAGGGATGACTGGTTCTGTCAAGCCAGCAATCCTTGCATTATGTGGCGCGTTGTAGAGCGCGCCGAATGGCATATGGATCGGTACAATACAAAACAGCACAACAGCGCAACAGCGGAGTGCTGTTTTCTATTTTGGCCCGTAAGAACCGCACATGCTCTTATGTGTCCGCTGTTTTTTAAACGACAAAACAGCGCCAGCTATTTACAAAATCGCACTCTTATCACACATAATAGCACTCTGATTTACAAAAGCGCTCTGACATTATGCAAAACCGCACTTCTGCTGAAACGCTCTTTTCTCTTGGGCAGAAATGCATTTCAGCATGTTTTTAGAATTTGCTCTTTTTCAATTTTCTTCTCGGCAGAAATACATTATGGCATACGCCCCTCTGCCACTTTTCTGCTCATTTCTATCTTTTTTCTCGCATTTTTTTCTAAAACATCGGCGGGTAAGAGAGATTAACTCACCGGAAAGTACTACTTTCTGGGAGCGTTCTTCCGCTACGGGAAGTATGAATTCCTCACTGGGTGAGGTTTTATCTGCAATCACCCGGACGATACTTTGACGATGTCCGTACTTACGCAGCTCTTCATTTCTTTCAGTCCTATTATACGCGAAATGTGTCCGTTGTGTGGTTTTTCTGCCGCTTTTTCTGTTATGTGCGTGCCACGCGCATACACATGGTCTTCATCTGTCTCTCACATCTGCTATGGAATTTCCCTGCTGCGCGTGCTCCGCTATGCTTTTGTTGATACTACGTTACATAGATGTTCTACACGTACTGTGTTCACGCAACAATAATGGCTCGAGAGGTAAAGATGAGAAATCATGATTGCGCTGCAGTATCATGCCCAGAAACTTTATTTCTACTGTACGTTCAACATACATAAACTTAATGCTTCTCCTTCACTCCGCATAACTCCGACATCTTGTCTAAGAAATCTTCATCAGGTAGGTGCCCAGCCTTCCAAGACTGGTAGAAGATGAAACGCTTTCTCTCGTTGCTTGCTGAAGCCGGCGCCGTTTCCCCCAGGTCGATCGAATTAAGTTTCGCGTTTGAACGGATCAGCACGTTCTTCAATGCCTTGATAAAGACTACAATTTTGGGATTCCTTTTCGATACGACTTCATTTAGATATCTGACCGTGAGAGAACCCTGTAAAATCAGAGAGTGTCACAGGCTCACTGATTCAGCCGTAATCACTACCTGTGTAACCCTTCCAACGGGTTAGTCGTCCTTTGAGCATAGACGTCATCTGAAGGAATCGAACACCACTCCGCTGGAGGAAACGGCCCGTCCAATTTCATGTAGACTGAGTCGATGTAATCGACTACTCGTGACACGTCATCTCCTTCAGGCCTTGAGTTTTTCAAATTGTTCCACATCCTCGGTAGATCATCCACACCAACGGATGGTAACCCCATCAGATTGTGTAACCATCGGCTTTTCGCCGATCGGAAAGGTCTAGGGGTCCAATAAACATTGTGCATACTTTCTTGGATTTTTCTAACCCACGCCTTGGAGATGTGGAACAAGCATCCCCGGAGACGGTCACTCGGAATGCGGAAGACATTTTGCAATGCCCGTCTCATGGGGATTTCGAAATCGGTTGTAACCTCGAGCTGCTTCACAACCTCAAAGAGATGCCGACGCTCTAGTTCACCTCTCATTTCCATTAACACTCGTTCATATGCTGATTGTGATTTTTGCGTCATCAATGCATGAAAAACTGGTATAAAATAACCATTGACAATTGCCATGCAGCTCCACAATTGAGCCCAGTGCTCTGGGGTTGCGAAGAATGTGGCGTCGAAGATGAGTCCTTGTGCATAGGCCAAAATTTCGATATTCCGATCCGCCCCCCAGATCATGAGGGGATCTTGGTCATCCTTGAACAGAAGGTATCGGGGTGAGGGATCAGCGGAGTCACTCTTCAGAGTTTCCCTCTCAGCCTCACGAACAAAGTCTTCATAATACCCTTTCGGGTCACTTGTGAAATTACGCAACTTCGGATTGGGATTCTTCTCCCGCTCCAGCCTCGCTCGAACCGCGTTGAGATTAGTAAGGTCTCTCAACGTCTGCTGACTGCCATGTTGACTCGCTATGGTTGTGATAAGATCGCTCGTACTTTTCTGGCTAGCATTACCGACAACTTCGTGAACCCGCCGTTTGATACGCTTAGACTGCTCCGACCGAACGGTGCCATCACTCTTGCAATTAGGGGCGTGAGTAGGTAGCCTATCGAAGAAATACTTCCCATCATCCCGCCGGAGAGTTTTAGAGCGTGAACATCCACAGCATCGAAAGTTAACGTGTTTCTTGTCTTTGGATTCCCTGGTCCATCTGAACTGGAAGTGTGAAACCCATATGCTGAGCTTCCCCTTCTGGGTTGTGCAGAACCAAGATTCAGGAATTGCCAGACCATCGGACACCATCTGTTCAAGCACGTGAATACACATGCGCCCCCCGGAATATCGTATCTCATTGTTATTACTACATGCTGCCGATCAATTGATCGACAAGACACATTCTGCAATATACTGCCGAACATCCGCATCTCCAATAGAGAGTAATGTCGGAGGCGTCCACATCTTCCATGCACGAGATACATTTTATACTAGGTAATTCAGCAGTCCACTTGTAGATAGCGGTCCCAATACAACCATGAATGTCAGTATTACCGATGGGCACTTGTTCGCCCCCGAACTCGAAGGCCGCATTCAACTCCAATGAACCATATTCACACTTAATTACTTTTTCAACAACCCTCTCGGAATAGTCTTTACCCAGAGCAAATACGAACTTGGGAACCGTAACCGTGACGAAATCGAAGTCGCCAGGGTACCCCGTCACACCGCCTTGCAAACGACCCAATAAGTCTTCCTTCCTTGGTGAGCTAAGATGAGCACTGGAGTCCACAACATTGATTAGTTTCGACCGCAGTTTTTCCCAAATTCCCTGAGCACTGTAATGGACACCCCAAAGGCTTTGGACTGCTTCCTCCACTATCCCTGCAACTCTGCTTTCAACGGCCTCCAATATGACCAAAGCAGATGACGAGTCAATTTGAAAGTGTGGTTCCAACGCTAACCACATGAGAGGCTCGCGTCTCCAAGAGGCCAGACGCCCTCCAGCTTGCAAGTCAACTGTGCTCAAACCCAGCTTTCGCTTCAACAGCGCATTAATATCGTTCCTGACCACCTGAGAATACATCACAATTACTCAACCGCCCGAACTTATCGCAGCAAATCGCACTTTAGTCCTAGCCTCCGAGACCCGCGAGTTCATGAATCTCATCAAATCATAACCGGCGAAGTCGCCAACTTCCACCACCTCTCCCTCATATATGCCGAAATTACGCTTAACGTAACTGATAGATTTCAGAATACAAGGAGATGGATTGCACTAGTCACTACTTCACCATCCCCACCGACGTTTGTTGTTGCCCTGTATTATTCCACAACTGCTCGATGGCACCCCGAGAAGGTTACGGCTTGCAAGGTGATATGAGATCCTAAAAAATTTCTCCTAACAATCCAATTTAAGGTGCAACTTTATCAAACAAATAACAAGTAACAGCCAGCGTTACTTAGCAATATATACTTACATTCATGAGGCGCGCTGACTCTGTTCCGTTCGATATACACTTGATTTTAAGTTTTCGAAACGCGGGAATCAAGTGCTCAATAACTGTACTATTTCCTCGGAACCTTTTCCGTTGACGCTCGCAACGATGGCATACATAACGCTGCGATGAAGTAAAATCCACAGCCTCATCGGCACACCCTGCAATATGGATTCTCATACCACACGAGTCACAATCGGCCATCGCCCCAAAGTCGCTCCCGCGATTGCAAATATGACAGCAGATTGGTTTAGGTATAGGAACCAAATAACGCAAACTGATAATGAAAAAATTTCCCATTGGAAGACAAGCAAACAATGTTACGGCGAGTAATGTAAAACAATATGAGTGACGACTTCGCTCCGCCGTCAAACGATCAAAACGCCACGTTACTTATCGCGATTGCTGTTATGTATGAAAAGGGCAACGGACAAAAGAGCACTCGAAATACATAACCGCATACAAACTTTATACAAAACAGCATCTGCGATTTCATAATAACACATTTTTTGTAAATAAGAGCGCAGCCGCTCTTTTGACAGTGCGATTTATTTTTGTGCTGTAATGGTTACCTGCGACCTTTAGTTGTAGAATACCGCACTTCTGCGGTTCTGTACGTCAAACTACTATTACAGCACATCGCACTTTTTTCTGCTCTTTCTCGTGTGCTGTTTTCCATGGTAGCCATATGGATGACCGCTGGGTGCAATGGATGGAATGTGTTAGAGATACTAGCAGAACCCGTCGCTTCGCTCCGGGGTTCTCTAGCTCGCTGACGCTCGGGGGTGTAAGCGATATGTTAAGATACACCAGTTAAATTATGTCCTTGTTGCACTGAATCGAGAACGTAGACCTATGTGTCCTTGGAAGTCTCAGGCTGAGATGAAAAGATCAATGTTATACGGAGCGTGCCACTTTTTCAAGTAAGTCACGAGATTTTCGATTTCTTTTCCAACAAGGACAATTCCCTCTGAAATTGGAGCACTCGATACCCAGTCACATAGCGGATACCATATTAAGAGGAATAGGTGACACTCGTAACCGTAACGGTTAAACCATTCCATAGATATTCAGACAAGCGCCCATTCTGACCGCTCTCAACCGTGCCAGTTTCTTACGCAACAATCA